GTTCCTCCTGGTACCCTCTGCCCAACACCATCAAGTTTGTTTTGCTCTCCCCACATATGCCATGCTAAGCCTTTCTCTGATCTGTGCCTCAGAAAACTTCAGGCTTCTCCTTTTTGCAGAACCATGTGGATTTGTCCTTCCTAGGTCAACCCAACTCCTAGAAAATCTAGGATTTTGACCTTGAAGACTGGCATCCATAGCCTTCTGTTACTCTTAGTCTCTGTAGCACTTGTAACTTATTTCCAGGTCTGGGATCCAGACTCAAGACTATCCAGCACTGTTCTCTGGTTACTTCATGACTTATTTACCTTAAGAATTTCATGAGCTTTCTTTTCCTGCAGCTCCCATAGTTGCTTGCACAGTGATGGTTGGGTGACTTAAAGTGAAGGAAAAAGAGGGATGCCCAACATACTGAGGCAGAAAATAGGAGGAAGTCCCTTCCAGTGGTTAGATTTTATGTGAAGATCCCTAAATAGCTTCCTTTTTGTGCTTAGATATCTGGACCAAGTTGGGTGATTCACAAAATGACTGAGTCTGCATTGGATCCAGAATGAGGCACAAGGAGGCATATTTTCTCCAACTCCCTATGACTCTGTTAAACAAAACCTGCTGGGAAACAAAGATACTAATGCTGAAACCATCCAAATCCATTCCCTCTCTAAAACCATCCTGTGGGGTTCCAGGAATCCCCAGCTGGAGGCAGCTTGACTTTTCTTGGCCCCTGTACCCTCTACCCCTGACCACAAAGCCTTGTGGTCAATTGTTGCTTCCCCTGGTCCACAGATGTCCATGGTATTGATTTTCTACTCTGAATGAACAAGAAGCCTGCACAGGGGCAGTCAGTTTTCTCCCTTCTGTTTTTAGTCCCCAAATAGCACCTACTATTTAGAATTAACCTTTCCTCAGCACTCTCTATTCTTCCTGGAGCCTCTGGCACTTGTGAATAGTCTCCCTGACTTTTCAAATCCCCAATATGTGACTTCTAACATCCTCAGGGCTCATCCTAGCCACTGAGATTGGCATCCCAATTTACTGATGCAGGGCCTCTGACAGTGGGAGGCAAGTTTCTTTGGCTTCCAGAACTGCTCCATGCAGACAGTGGCTAAGCCATTTCTCCCCAGGCTAATATATTTAAAGTCGTAGTTCATGTTTAAGATTTGTTGATTCTTCTGTGACTATGGTCCTTTAAAGCTTTAGACAATCCAAGCTGTGACTCCAGCTGTAACATACATAAGCAGGTTTCAAGATTGAAGAATGAACATGTATACAAATTAGATCTTTGATAGAAATTAGTAAATGATATGATAGCAAAGTTAAGGGGTTTTCTTCCTTTTTTAAGGCACTAACAATCAGAACTTTCTATGCATATTTCTTTTGTCCCTGTGATAAAAATGGAAAATAGCAAATATTATAAATATATTCACAATACATTATTAATAACAATACTGTGAAGTGTTGTACATATTATTATAAAATGCCTTGTGTTATAAGGATATATTACATCTGATATTATCATTCCTGCCACTAATATTTCCCCAACACTCACAATCTGAGAACATCTTCTGAGCTTCCTCTCCCAGTGTTTGGCTGTACCCGACTCTGCAGAAGACTTGATTCCTTGTTCACTGTCTGGTGATTCATTGCACTAAATACCATTTTCCTGATAATTAAAAACTGCTCACTGGCAAGTGGGAGCAGGAACAGGCTGATGCAGGATTTATGCAGAAACACAAAATGAGCCAAAAGACAAATGACCTGTTCTGTCTAGCTAACGGCATTTTTTTCCCTCGTCATCTTCTGGGACTTGAGAGAGGCTAGCTTTACTGCGGGAGAGCGGTCTGGGGAGATGTGTCATTCTGAGATGAGGTGGATGTGTGTGTGGTGTGTGTGGGGGGGGGTCATTATGTGCATGTGCTCAGCCAAATTACTCTCTCAATTTAAAGCACACGACTCCTCTCCCCAGCCAGGGGAGCTGGGCCAAAGCCATCTCTTCAGTCTGCCCTATCAGACCTTAGCCAGAGGAAAGTCTCTGTGACTGAGCTCTTTGTTAGACCTTGATTATACTTTTTTCTGTTTTCTTCCTCAATATGGATATGCTTTCCTTAATTTCAAGGAAAACAGAACTGATTCCTACGGCCTTATAGATACAGTAATTAGGACGTTGGTTCTAAATGGACATGGGCCACCCCTGGGTTTCATGCAGCCTGCTTGGCTTCTGGTGAAAGCTTCAGTGACAACCAAACTCCCGACCAAAGAACAGCAGCCATGATGTCACACACACACACACACACAACCCACCCCTTAATCTACAAGCCACCAAAGCAGCAGACCTCTCTTTGTGAGTAAACTGTGCTCATCATCTCAGTGCATCTTCATTTGGGTGCCCATTGTCATAAACATCTGCCCTAAAGAATAGAATTACCATTAAGAGATGAGCCTGTCCCTTCTGGGAATAGCTCCTTCCCCAAACTGGTTGGGCCCAATATCCACAAAGCTCATTAACTCCCAATCCTTTCCCATTTGTCCTCATATATGTCTTTGCTTGTACCATTCATTACAGCACATTCTAGATTGTTTAATTAGTTTCTGTGGAAGAGCTCCTGTAGGACAGCTTAGCATACATCTTTAAAAAGCCCTTGATCTAAAATAACAAGGTAGTTATTTTGAAGTAACTAATATCACCCTAAATGGCTTATACCCCCTACCCACACACACTGCCCAGCTCACCTTACTTCCACAACACTTCCTAGAACAATTTGCTAATAATGGTTACAAGTTAGGGAGTCCTCATTGCATCTGGAACTGGGCTGGGCCTGCTGCTTGCAATGGGATTGCTACTGTCATAACCACACTGGGAGGGAGGTGTTATGTCTTCCATTGCCAGAGGAGAAAACTGTTTTAAGAGATGTATATAGACTCTGTTATATTACACAGGACAATGACTGATGAGAATTGGTGTGGAAATAGCTCAGCTCCCTTGACCTAAGGGTAATCCAATTCTTAAGCTGTGGTTACCTATCCTGGCTCCCAGAGCTTCTCCAGGGAGATAAAGCCTGTTTCAAGACCCACAGTGGTCAGTAGCTTAAGGATACTCCTTACATTCTCTACTTTCCTTGGGTACTTCTTGGGATCAGCTTCAGGATAAGCCACTTGCTTTTACAACCTTGCCTCAAGGGCTGTTTCTAGAAGAAGCCAAAGTAAGTCTGGGGGAGCCTGCAGATGCTAATCTGCGTTCTTCACACATTCAAATTGGTTTCATTTAGTCTTGCTGTTTACTTGTTTTGCAGAATATCTCTGTTTTGCTCCTTGTCCCATGATACTAAAGAGAAGCTCTCTCATTTGTGTGTGTGTGCGCGCACACACATTTATACATTTGTCACATGACCCAGAGAGTAGAACATTCTAGATAAAGGTGAAAATCTCTCTACTTTGCTTTGTCCAAATTTTAGTCAGTGTATCCTAAAGTCGAATACATCCCAAGGTCGCCCAGGTGCATTCTAAAATTTTGTTAAGACACCTAAAGATGGGTTATCCAGTATGCCTGGAGTGTTTGTTTCAGCACGGTTTTTCTGCTTTTTAATGAATGGGGATAACCCATCTTTCAGGAAAAGTCCTTTTTATGGCAGGGCACATATCTCTCTTTGGCTTTAAAAAAAAAATCTCCTCTCCACTTTTTCCTGTGTTTTCCTTCTTCCTTTGAATTGTGCTCTAACACTTAAAATCTTTGCCTGAATAGGTGATCAAGGCAACATTAATTTAGGAGAGCCTTCGGCTGTTTTTTTGGATGGAAAATGCCAGAACTAGAACATATGTGAAGGGCTGGGAATCACCAGAGACAGGGCTGTGGAGGCACTGAGATGGGGCTTCTAGAACCTAAGATCCAGCCTCACCCAGGGGTCCCAAACACTCATGTGAAGCACTGTGGCTTTCTAACCCACCTGACCCTGCTGGCCACACTCTTTCATGAGTGAGACCACAGCAGCATGCAGGGAAAACTATCCTTCCCAAGATTGCAGCACTGGACCATGTCATGTGGCTTTTGGCGCCCTCACCTTTCTAGTACCCACCACCGTAAAAAGTTTCTACGCTTCACTTAATGACACATCAAACATGTTGAAAAATTACATTGTGAGTGAATCCATTTGTTTCTTGGGTTCCATTTACTATTTTTGTCCCCTCTCCTCTACTTTTTAATGCATTTTTTTCTGCAATGACGATTCTCTATTTTGTCCCCAAGCACACCTATCTATCTTGCTAGTGTGTACATCAGTGACAAGGTCTATATTCCTTTATATATTTCTCATCTACCATTTTATTTGTTTTTCGTACTTCAGTGTGTCTGAAAGCATGGGGGTTCAATTACCATTTTTCTTTCATTCCACCTCATTTTTTCTATGTACACTTTGCTCTTTCCTCTATTAGTATTTTCTAGGCTTTTCTCTTTACATTTTCTCTTCTAGTATACTGTCGCAGCACTTCTATCTTGAGGGTGTTCTAAGAGCAATTTCTTTCCTTTTTTAAACTCCATTCTCATCTCTCTTATGGCCCTGGACCACAGCCGTCAGATATAACCTTAACAGTGGCCTCCACTCAGGAAGGTTGTCAAGTTGATAAATATTGATATCTACCCTACCATTTTACACTGCTTTTCTGCTAATGCATTTGGTTGGCATCAATCAGCTTCTTTGCCTTCTGTGAGTGCCTGGTGTGGGAACTGGTCCCGATCAGTCACTTATAAGTAATCTGTTCCACGTTTCATCAAGAGCTAGAAAGAGAAGAAAATATGGAGGAGAAGTAGAGGACAGAGAACCAGGCTAGAATGACCCAGGGGGAAGAGAGATGGGGAGATCCAGTAATATGAGGCAGGGGAGAGAAGGGGTGTAGCCTGGTGTGTAGGAGATTCCCTCCCAGAAATACCCCTAGTGCTGGGGACATCAGCAGAACTTAATGATGACCCTGTCCTCTTTGGGATGTTAATCCTGCTTATCTCCTCCAATAAGGCTCCCCAGGGATGAAGATCTACATTGACCCCTTCACTTATGAGGATCCCAATGAAGCTGTCCGGGAGTTTGCCAAGGAGATTGATGTATCTTTTGTGAAAATCGAAGAGGTCATCGGAGCAGGTATGGCTCTTCCCTCCCCTTGTCTCTGTCTTCTTGGTGTTCAAACATCGTCCTCCCACAACTATAGGTGTTCTCTTTCAGCATAAAAAGTCGTCCCATTGGGAAGAGAGTTTCTGCCTTCTTTCTTCTAAGAAGATGAATCTGGACCACCTTGAATGTATGCCTAGGACAGAGGAAGAACATCTCTGAGACTCTTTTGGGGATCTTGACCACAGTGGCTAAGCTTTTCTAGCATTGCAAAGAAGCCAGCTATAATTTTAAAAGATTAAGAAATAGCTGCAGACATGGACCACCAAATGCAGATAAGGAAAGAGATGTAGAGTACTTGGTCAAGAAGACTATGAAAGAAAAAACAACTTTTAGAAGCTGGATCTAGTATCCTTCTCACTGACAATGGTATCTCAATGACTTTGGGCCAAGACTTCTTTCCACACATTGAGTTCTCCTTTTTGTGAACTTAGAGCCAGGCCAGACATCAGAATAGAAATCCTGCTCAGTAACTAACTGCTGAGGGTGGTCTGAGCAAATCACACCTAAAGACTGACCTACGACATTTATCTTCCTTTAGTGGCTTGTAGTTGAGTCCATTTGGCAATGGATTCCACCTTATTCATGTAAATGATATAAAACATCCCCAAATATCATTACATCATAAAGTCTCTGCCTCTTATGAGTCTTCTTTAAAGCTATGTTTGATTTGTATCCTCTTCCCTACTTTTATTTTCTTCTGCAACATTCTTTTTCTTTTTGCAGTACTGGGCTTTGAACTCAAGGCCTACACCTTGAGCCACTCCACCAGCCCTTTTTTGGGATGGGTTTTTTTCAAGATAGGGTCTTTCAAACTATTTGTCCAGGCTGGCTTCCCACCACGATCCTCCTGATCTCTGCCTCCTGAGTAGCTAGGACTATAGGCGTGAACCACTGGCTTCTGCAACATTTTTTGTCTTTTCTTCTTCAATTCTTATTAGCCATTGTTCAGGAACCCTTCACTAATATGTTGCAGCCTTTTCCCCTCTCAGGTCTGAAGTGCTTTATTCATATCGCTATTTGCTGAGCCATGGAGTGGCATCTCCCAATAATATTGTAACTCAATAAAATATGTTTAGAAAAGACTTACAGACAGCCACTTCATATATTATCTTTAGGGGGAATGTTGTCATCCTTCCACTCACTGCCTCTCTTAATGCACTGTGGGGTCAAAAAGCCATCTGTGAAATTGGAAGTCACATCTGAAAGCCTGCCCCATTAGGCCGCCATATTCATGCTGTTTTCTCTTTTGAAGAGCGTCATCCCTGTGCCTCCTTCAGCATCACTATGGCAGGTGCTGTGACTCTCCCTGTCAGGAGACACCACCCTCACCACCAGCCTCTCAAGAGTTCCAGCTGACTGGGCAGAATCTGATTCACAAGAGTCTCTACATATTTCCCATTGAATGTCATTAAATATGTTACCGAACCACGACTTTCACGTCCGTGCAGATAATTTTCTCTTCCTCCTTAGCACTGACATATTTAAGGATCATGCATTGGTAGGTTGGGTACCAGATAAATTGTATTCCTCTTAGGGGCTCCGATTTCTCCAGGAACTTGAAAGAGTGTTGGGAAGGCAGACTTTCAGACCTGAACTCTGTTTGCCCATGTTATTAATTGTTGTTTTGGCTTGTGGTAATGGTGCCAGTGATTTTAATGTTGTTATTTATGTCGTGTTCTTCGAGTGATGTGTTCTGGACTGCATTTCATCCCAGAGAGCACACATCAGCTCACCCCCACCCCCGCCTTTGTCAGGGGAGGAGTAAAGAGCCTTCTCATTTTATGATCCTGTCAGGGAGTTACAATTTTGGGTGAGCTCGCCAACTGCTGGATGCTCATAAAGAGACAATTGATGGTCCTGCTCCATCCTTCACCTCCCATTTGTTGTACAGTATTTGCCAGTGTTGCTGTATTGTGCGTTCTTCTCTGAGGAGAGTCAGACTTCTACATGGTACTGAGGAGAGATGCATTTAGTAATTTATGACCAGCAGCATGGTGTAAAGACCTCTGCCTAGTTACTGCTGACCACCTTATACCACAGACCCATCTTCTTGTGATTCAGAACCATCCCAAAGCTGATCCCAGTGGATATTAACTCACTGTGCATAACTAGATGCGATTTTAACACAAGACACTCCCAGCTGGGAATCAATCTTTCTCTAGTTCCTTTTCTCCTTTGTCATTACTTTCCCTTCCCCCGCACCCTGCCTCACTGAGACTGGCTCCACCTTGTGCTTAAAGTGCTGGAGTGAAGGTCAAGTAAAAAAAAAAAAAATTCCTAAGGTAAGATTTATGCAATGTAATTGGCAATGTTTCTTTTAGCTACCTAAAAGACTTGGAGCAAGGGGCAAAAACTGGGTTGCATACAGCAAAAGCCAAAAATTGTAAAAGGAAGAATCAGAAATCATTTTTCCTTTCTTCATCCTTTCTCCCTCCCTCCCTCCTTCTTCCCTTTTTTCCTCCCTTCCTGCTCTCTCCATCCTTCTCCCCTTCCTTTCCTTCTTTTTTCTCTCCTTCCCTCCTTCCTTCAATAAACTTTTACTGACTACTGCTTACACATTCATGTGGAGTTCCATAAATGCATAAATTTCTCTCCCCCTCTGACAGTCTTAGTGAAGAACAGGCAGGCCAATCATTATTAACTATTTTGCACCATCTACCCATAGGCATGTACAAGGACCTGGCCCAAGAAAGAAGGGTGTTCATTTTGTTCTGGGAGAAGCTAGGGGGTCAGGAAGTCTCCACAAAGGAAATGACCTTTGACCTGATCACTCAAGGATGAAAACTAATATAGAAAGCTAAGTTTTTATGAAACACATAGAAAGAATGATACAGTGATAGAAGAGGAATACTAAATGATTCAAGGAGGAATCCAACAGTGGGGTGTTGGAGCCAGCCTTCAATAACTCACACAAGCCAACTGTATGCATCTCTTTACAGCCAGATGCCCAGTATTTACATCAAGGGAATTGGCAAATGGTATGAGTCATGGGTATCTGTTTCTTTAGTTGCTTCTTTGTATCTGGAGACCTAGTAGTTGGATACTTACCAACATGTTCCTGCCCTCCAAACAATGCAAGGTTATTTCAAAGAGGTTGCAAAGGTCTGTGCCTGTTGAACATGGAGCCAGAAGAAAGGGCTGTTTGTTGCAGGAGGGGTTAGTCTTAGACACTTTTGTCCCTGTGACTGTAGTACATGCTGGGAAATATACCCGATGCCTAGCATTCAGGAATTATTCTCTACTACATAGAACACAGCACTACTCAGGGAGAGGAAGGAAGAGATTGAGAGCTGAGAGGAGGTGTCCAGGGAACATGTGGCTCTGGAGATGAGAGGGGTGATTTGATGGCAGGGAAGACTCATGGAAGAGGGGACTTAGTAGCCCCTGAGGACATGGCAACTTGGATGGACTAAGAACAAGGAGGAGAGAAGGCTGCTGAGGAAGGATTTCCTATGGATAAATGTGTAGAATCAGCCTGGCCTAGAGAGGCTGTGGTATATGGAGTTTGTCTATAGAAAGTAGGTTTCTGAGCAGGATGGGTTCAGGAATCTGAATCTGAATCTGATAAATACTGTGTTTGAACTTGGCAGGAAGGAAGTGAAGGAAAAGCAGCCCTTGGATGCTGGAGACCAGTTACAGGGTTTTGCTTGGATGTGGAGGGCAGTTTTGAGATGGCCAACGGTGGGAGCAAGGGTAGGAAGGGAGGCTGCTTTAGATTAACAGACATCCAAACTAGAGTGCATCCAACATGAACAGAGTGACTGGAAGGCTTGGTGACTAGAGTTGATGGGGAGCGGTGGCATGGATGTTGTGCCAGGAATTAGGGTTATCAGGTGTGGGGAGCAGCAGTGGTGTTTGTGAATGAAGGCCAGTGAAGTAAAATCTAGAAACTGAGATTAAAGAATTGAGTCTACTGCCAACATTTCTCCTAAAGTTGTTGAGAATATTGAACAAAGTAATAAAAAATAGTAATTGTGAGCCAAGTGTGATACCCACAAATATGGAATAATTATCATTAATCACTAAGTAGTTATTTTTTAATGTCCATCTTTTCTCATAGAACTTTGAGACTCAAAGTTCTATGAGAGCAAGAGAACATGTGTCTCTGTTAGTCTGGAGCCTGGCCTAGTATGGTATGTTGTACTTTGTGGCTTAATTAGATATTTTTATATGGTGATGAAAATAGGTCCTTGGGGGGAAAATACAGCAGGGACAGAAAATTAGAGCTCTAGACAAAGCTTGGGAGAATGGAGAGAGACTAAAGAGGTGGAGTGAGATCTGAGTCATCTAGAGCTCTGAAAGTGGCCCAATGGAGTGAAGCAAAACTGTTCCTTCTCTTCTCCCTATAGACAATGGGGTCAATTGAAGACTCTTTAGACAAGGCAACAGGCCACCCTGGTGTCTTTGGAGAATACCATCTCATTATTACTATGGTTCTGACTAATAAGAGTTACTTCATGGTTAAGTTCCAAAGCATTGTTTAGTTTTGATCAATTAGATCAGTAGACTTACCCAGAGAGAAAACCTGGGTAAACTGCCATGTGGGTTTCATCCCTACAGTAAGAATAGTATTCTTGTGTCATTTAGTGTGCAACCAGCAGCCTTAGCATGACTATCAAGTGCATGGAAATGTACATAGCGTATCATCAGAGAAGGTGTTATCCAGGTGAAAACATGCATAGTATGTTTTAATTAATAATCCCCTCCTCCTGTATTGTAGCCCATTTAGCACTTCCACTATGGCCAACCAAGAGGAAAAAAGAGGCTTGGGTGAGAGCCTAGATGAGGACAGGTGGGATGAGGGAATGTGTGCTGTGTTCAGACGCTCACCATGTGGGGCCAGCCAAGGCTCAACCCATCTCTCTTTAGAGAAGAGGGTGAGTTTCCTTGAGGATGATTTGGCAGAAAGGTTGCTTGCCAGAATGACTCTGCTGGGCTCATTCAGAGTGAGGATGGGCAGGATGAGGATA